TGACAATCCCAAGAAACTGCTAAAATTCTCTGCATGTAAATTTCTACCCTCAGCTAAATACCTAGGGATGTTCAGGGAAGAATTAATTGGAAGCAAAGAAAAAAAAGGAAAGAGAAAAAAGAAAAGAGTTGCAGTGCCCCAGTGAATAATTTATAGCTGTTTCCTTTTCAACAAAGGGAATGTTGAATGTTTTTGACAATAGCAGGTACATAATTGTTTTATGCTGGGGGCATTTATTGTAACTCATTCATTATATCATCTTGCTAGTTTTCATGGCATGCATGTATTTGTTCTCTTAGTGGAACAATTTGAATGACAACTAGGAGAAATAGTGGGGGACAGACAGTGAGAAATGATGTGTTAAAAGACTTAAACCAGTTTGATAGACAGCTTGAAAACACCATCAATACCAACAACACCATCAGCACAGAGAAAGTGAAAGGCCTAGATCCAGTGGTTGTCTTAGTCTGACAAATGTCCTTTTTTTTTTTTTTTTAAAGAACTATCTTTTTTCATTGATTTCAGTTAATTTTGGTCAGAAAGGAGACTATTATACAATAGAAAGATTAAGACTGTGAAAGAGGGAAAAAAAGACAACATATGAAAAAATATGAGAAAATCTTGAGGGAAACTCAAATCAATGAACTTCCTCCAAAGAAATAACTAACCCTAGAAGTTCGACCCAGACAGTGAGACCATATATCAGACACAAGTCTGAGGTTTTTGTGACCCTTGTCATTGGGAAAACATTTTAATTACACTGAGTCATTTCCCCTCTATTTTTTTTTCAAGTTGTAAAAAATGAAAATACTCTGCATTCTTTCCTCCCCAATCTTTCCATCTGAGAAAATGTAATTGTAAGGGGTGGCAAAAAGACAATTAATATATATTAAAACATACAAAAGGCTTCTTCTAATGATCAAGTTAAGTCACCAGGTCCATTTTAAAGGTATAAACCAGTATCATTTCTGTGACCTTAATGATAGTAACAGGACTTACACTAACTGATCTAGCAAACTTACTAAAGTCCATTAGTATTATTACTACTACTACTACTACTACTGTTATATCACTGTAAACTGTACATCCAGTTTTGCTATCATGTATATGGACATAGATACAGATATGAAGATACTTATGAATTATCTACTTACTACAGTTAGTATTCTTCCTGAGTTGTATTAATTTATAAATGTATCTCTAAAAACTTGACCATTGCCAAGCAGTATTACCGTTTCCAAATAAAGAAACAAGAACACAGACAACTATTTAGCACAGCAGGCACAGTGCTCTTCTATCTGTGCTCCAGCAACCATCTCTTGATTCCCATCCTTCTCCAGTCCTTTTTGTGAAAGGACTGTGTCTTACACAAATTAACGCATTAGTTTTGTAGGACTTTCAAATGATTATATCTGATGTGATATTTTTCCATTTAGTCAACAGCCAGAAGTATTCCCTAATATGAACACACATCAGGAGACATTCCCATTGTCTTCTGTTTCGTTGAATCACAATGCCTCTGTGCTTTGGCCTTTGAGGATTTTGCACTAGATTACTACAACTTTTGATTTGATTTCAACAGTTTTCCATATAATATTTGGTTTTATTTTAATAAATTAAATGGCATAAAACAGAAAAAATGGACATTGAGAAAGATGGATTTGGCATGCAAAAATATAGAAGTGTGTTACGTGTGGGTACTCATGACAAAGAAACTCACTCCTAGAGCTATTCTCCCACTTGAAGGACAAAGGGCATCTCGAAAATACTATAAAAATCAATGCAGGGTTTTGAATCCCAATTAGAGAGAATTCTCTGTAAGAGAATTGTTTCTTATGACCATGCATGTGTGACTATATGCATGTAGCCTTCTCATATTGTGTCCAAAATATTTCTATGTGTCTTCCCTCCAAAGGAAAAAAAAAAAAAAGGCTCTGGATGCATCCAATATTATGAATCACAACCATCTGTGTTGTAGTGCAGTGTCATAAGTCATTGTTCTTGTCCCCGCATATCCTTTCTCCCTCTTCACTGCTGAGCTAATTCTGCCAACAGCATCTACAGTTCATACAGGCCTAATCCAAAATTCACACAAGTCAAAGTCACACCACTGGCTTCAATGGAGTTTGTAAACGTGAGAAAAAAACGGACAGTGCCTTTGTTGAGTTAAAGGCACGATTTGGCTTTTTTGATTCACACAAAACTTTCACTGTAATAAAGAGTGGGCAGGAAAAAAAGTAATAAAAAATCAAAAAAATGGAAATACTAAAGTTCTCAAAGAAATTAAAGCGGTAAGAAATATTACTGTAGAAGAACTTAAATCTAGGCATCTCTTGATGTCTGAATAATAGAAAGTTTGCACCCTCCCTGAAAGTGCCCGAGCCATCAAGACCATACGAACGATAGACTGTGAGACATGCCAGGATGTTAATGAGGGTCAGGCTCTTCCCCTCCTATGAAATCTGTAGAGTGTGGTGAAGTTGTCACGTATCCTGTGTCTGAATACTAGTAATATGGTAAACTTCATCTTGAGAAGCAAGATAGGACTATGCTTAACTGCTTGTTTATATACATACAGAAGACTAGAATCTTAACAGAAAATCCTCATTCCCTTAAAGTTAATTGGAGTCTTGCCACTGACTTCGGTGTGGCCAGAATTTCATCGACAGGCTTTAATAGGACTGACTATCCAAATAAATAAAGTAAGGGGGATTTGGCTGTCAGTGACCTATGTAAGATCTCACAGTCAGCAATAAAATCTGAAGCGACTAAGTCAGAACACTATTCTGAAACCACAAACTTCCTCCCCAAACCCAAAAATACAGGACGTTTTGATAACAGAAGAGCAGTAAGTACAGGAACAATTAAAGAAATTGAAAGAAACCCTATATATTTAGCCAGTTATTGTCAGAGCTGTAATATTTAGAATTTTGATATCTGTCATCTTTTAATCTCTCTCTCATATTACTTTTATTGCATTTAATTTTTTAGAAGGAAAGTTTCCATTTTTTTTTGGTTCATTTTCTTTTAAGGAAAACAGATGGAGAAGGAAAATAAAGTTTTGAAGTTCAAATATAGTTTTAAAATGGCTGTTAACTGTTTAATATCAAAAGCAATTATATCAACTAAAGGCATTTGATGCTTGCTGTTTCAGGTGTTAATTCCTTCTGATGAAACTAAGTTTTATGATTTTAATGAGAATGTTTTCTAGTTGAATTCTAGGACAGCTGAGTATTTGGTCAGAGTACCTGAAGGAAAGAAAAATCACCCCACCTCTACAACTTTTAGCTTGGGAAAAAATATTTTGGATAATCATGAATGAAATAGAGGATAACAATGAACATGTTTTTACAAAATAAATTATAGAGAGTGCTACTAACTTCCTGTAATAAATGTAATATATGCACTACATGTGCGTACACATGCATACATATATGCATGTGAATATATGCGTGTAGATCTTCAAAAACAGAACGCACTTTTTGGAGAAAGAAATCAAAACACTCTTTTGTTTAAAGACTACATGATTTTCTAACCCTATCGGCTACAGTTACTATACTGAAATTTAGTTAGATGCCTAGTGCTCTTGCTTACGGATCTAATGCAGTATTTTTTGGATTCCTATTCAAACCGTCTGCTTTTTTTATTCTAATGTATCATGCCATAATTCCATGTAATTATGGGCACCCAGTCTTCCAAGACAAACAGCTGACACCTGGAGACATGTAAGGAATAACTCATAAGTTAAGGTTAGCTGCCCAACTCTCATTACAGTGACATTTAAAGTATATTCTGTGAAGTTCAAGTTAAACCAAAAACGTTATTCAGTGGTTCTTGGATTCAGAAATAAACATACAATAGGCTAGACAGAGATTGTCAGCCTGTCATTATAATACTGGCTGTTAACAACCACAATTAAGGAAGACTACATATCAATTATTATTTGTCTGGAACATGAACTTCCCTAAGCATGAAAGGAAGTGATGCAGCCTGTATTACTGTCTCCACTCTTCAGCTAATTAGTACTGTTTTTAATGGCTTCATCTGCCCAGGATCAATTGTCTAATGGGGAACAGTTCTCTGTCAGTTAATAAGGTGAGGAACTGTATAATATGATTATGTCTGGCTCCAAAATAGTGCTTCAAACAACACTAAAACAATCATGTGATGGAATAAATAGACTGAAGCAGGACTGCCAGATAATTCTGGAGCAAGCAGAGTGTTCCAGTAAGGGTACAAATATCTGATAAAAGAATGTGCAGCACACTGTAAGGAAAGTGTAGGACATTGTCTAGAAATGCTGGAAGTTTAATTAAGAGAAGGAGCCAGTGGCAGTATGCGTTTAAACTGGTGTTTAAAGAACATTAGCATAAGGAATGTGAAAGGGAAGGGCTCCATTTCCAAAAATACTTGCTGCAAAAATAAACTGCTTTGTGGTTGTCCTGCTTGGAAGAATGTGCATTTTAAACTTTCCATTCAGAAAATGCCAGCCAGTACTGAAAAGGGTAAAAAGCAACTTGATGATATATACTCTGTGTGTCTCCAGGCTGCAAAATGCAGTTTATATATACGCACACATATATCATACCTCTGATGCTGCAGGATAATTGGATGTTCTCCTGATGGTCAGCTATAGACAGTTTGGTAGATTACTGCTCATCATGATGGAGGCATTGGACAACTCAGCACTGCTCTGCACAAGGCAAAGCCAGGAGGTACACAAACAGCTGTATGACTTCAGATGACTTCTTTCTACTACAATTGATCACCATTACCCACAGGCTAATTGGCATTGTTCTTGGCATTTACAAAAAAAGATTATGCCAAGCCCTTATAAAAACAAAAAGCAGACTTTGTGGTATAGGAAATAATGAAGCTTTACAATTAAGCAAGCATAGATGTCATTGACTTTCCTGAATTCAGGCAGGAGGGGAGAGCAGTTTGGGAAAGCATTAGTGTAATATCCAAAACATGCATATTTTTATTCCAGACCTAATTACCTCATTTGCTTTCTTCAGTAATGTCCAGTTTTTCCTTTGCTGTCCTTTGAATCACTGTTTCCACAAGAGATACAGGCTACACTCCCTGAGAAAGAAAAGAACATAGCCAAGTAACAAAGAGAAAAAAGAGGGGTATATTTAATAGAAGTTCTTTTGATGAAAGCTTCTCTCAAACTCTTGAGGTCTGCACCTCTGCACTCAAATCCATTAAAGGAAAATATCTGTTAAGATTTGCCCCTCCTTTTGCAGCTGACTTAAACTGTTTGAACGTCAATTGTGCACCTCAACACACAATTGCCTACGTAGTTTTTATGCCCACCATGGTAAGAAATCAGCACTTCAGATCTTTGGGTCTCAATAAACCCAGACTTCACTATGCAAACTGCATTGTAATCCTGCGTGAACCTATTGCCTCTAGAAAGATCATTGATAACAACATTAGGTGTCTAGCGCTTGCCTCTCCTCCGACTGAATGGAAGGCCTGTATCTCCCAGAAAACCATTTCAATAATTTGGACAGTAGAAATCCTACCAGTGTTTCAGGGCTCCACAGCTAAAAAGCCTGGATTCTCACTGCACTGTATTTATCCACACAGGGAGATGAAGAGTAGTCCATCATCACAACATGGAGACCACTTCTGTTAGACTACGGGAGGAAAAAAAAAAAAAAAAAAGGCTTCTTTTTTCAGAAGTGGTATGTGTATTGTAGTATTGTATATTTGTGCTGGGGAAAAGAAAGGTCACACTGCTTTTTGAAACGCTTAGCATTGAAATACATTGAAATGTTGCTCTTACACAAAGTACTGCAAGGATATAGCTTAAGCTTTAACCTGTACTGGTCAGAACACATCAAACATAAAAGCATTGCACAAAGACTGTAACAACTCAAAAAAGAAAAAGAAAAAAAAAGTTGATAATCATTGCTGTGGGGCAGCCCTGTGAAGCCCATATTTCCAGAAAGAAGAAGGCATTTGCATTCTTGAACAGAACAGAATGGAACCGAACAGAACAGAGGAGTCAAAGGTTAAATGTGTGAGAGAAAAAGAACAAATTTTTCTGTCTGAGTTACATCATTCAAGAATGGATATAATTTTCAGCAGATGGACTACCTCATTCTTATTTTTACTTTCTATTTCTGGTTCAACTCACTTTCAACCAGCACTTCAGATTATTGTGGACAAGTGGAATTTGCATCCAAGGAGAGATTTTAGCTATTGCACATGCGAGTGTCAGTGACCTGTCTACTTCTCTTTTGCTAACTGCCACAGCTTAGAAAAAAGAAAGATCTGGTTGGTACTATCTTAGGTTGGTTCTTTAAACTCACTACTGAAGACAATTTTGTGTGTGTGTGTTTTGTTTTGTTTTGTTTTGTTTTTCCTTAAAATGTGCATTACTGCAAATAGCTACAGCGTGGACAGTCCAGGACTCCGTCAAGGCAGAACTGCAGTTACTCAAAGCTCTATGATGCTACAAAAACATCTCTGATTCTCAGAGATAAATTCTGATATCCATTTCTAAGCATAAATATATGCTTAATATTCAACAAACAGTAAGGGAGATTTGAAAAAGAGATGTCCTTTTGGAGTTGTAAACAAAGAAGCAGTTTTGAATAGGAAAGAAGATGGGGAGAAGTGCATTAAGGAGGGGGGAGAAGTTTTAATTGTCTCCATTTTCAAAATGTGCCTTTCCTTTGTCGCTGAATATATTTCCTTAAGTAACACGTAAACTGGGAGGCATCAGCATCAAACATGTTATTTAAAACTGCCTATTGGACTATTTATTATTAAAAGAAAATTTATTGTTAAAGTGTGCTTTCTGGGACAAATTACAGCTTAGGTATCTTGAGGTTCCAGGTACATTAACAAATATATGCAGAGGGATTAGGAAACCTGCTGCTCATTTTAACAGGAATTATTTTTTCTTATGGAAAGACTGTTGTTAACCTGGTATCTTCTCTCTCATACTCTCTCATATTGCCTTTCAACATTTTAAGGAGTTGGTTAAAAATAAAAATAAAAAATATACAATAAAAATAAAAATAATAAAAATGGAAGTTAAGATTGGCCAGCCATATGACAATATCAGTTAATGATTACATTTTCCTAATGAGATTTATGGATTTAGCTCAGGCAGTTTGCACTTTAAATAGGAAGTGAAAGTATTTTTTGTAAGCCCAAAAGATTCATCAACAAAATGTGTGGCAGAAACATTTGTGCTTTTATTATAGAATATGGAAGAACATGCTAAATAAATGGATGCACTTTGTTGAAGGCATTTGAGGCCTAAACATCCCTTGTTCAGAAATAGATTTTGTAATACTGAGTGATTGAACAGAAATTTTGTTTTTCAATACAACAACAATGCTTTGCAAATACACAGAGGAAAGAGGTTGTTTCTGGGCCAGCAAATGTTACAATGAAAAAATGTACAAGAAGAAATTGCAGAAGAAATTATAAACCATGGACCAGCTTTAAGAAAGGTAAAGCAGCAATCATGTAGGCTAATCTTTTCTGCTGCACTATTGTCCAGGATCTTAAGTGAAACAACAAGTGTTGTGACAGAAATTCATACAAACTTTTTTTCTTTTTCTAAGAACAAACACAAGAAGAACTTGATGAAAGTTCTTGCCATTTTAATTCAGAGCTGTAGCCTCCATTTTGGAGGAGAACCTAAGGATTCTCTCATCTGATGTGGATTCACACTCTTGAGATCTAAACTTGACTCCAGCCTATAACCTAATGGTATTTCTGTTAGTATCTCCATGAAAAATAAATAAACAAATAAATAATTAAAAAAAAAAAATGAAAGAGAGAAAAAAAAAAAAAGGAAAGAGAAAATTAACATTGCCCTCTGCATAGCATGTGACCATGAGGAATTCAGCATGTGGCAAAGGCCCCATCTTCAAGAAGAGCAACACAAAACTCAACGGCAGTAAACCAAGGCCCATGAGCAGGCTATTCCTCTGGCAGCACAACTGACGGTGACTAAAGCTAGCTCATCAATAATTTCTTCTTCAAATTATGTTATAGGTTAGAAACACATAATGGAAGCTCATGAGGCTAAGTTCCTTCACAGAGTTCCTTCACTGGTTGCTGTCAGGAAGGAGTTAACAGGGAAATGAAAGGGCAACATATATGTTTAAGGGTAGTGCTCACTTACAAATAGGAGACTGCAAACCTTGCTTCTGTTGGGTGCTTGTACTACCCTCAGAGATGAAAAAGAGAGCAGGTGCTTACACAGTCTGAGTGGAAATCACCAGTATGGAGCAACTATTCTTACACTGACAAGAGGAGAATTCTGTCCAGGTGGTACCTTCCCTTCCAGTTGCTGGTATCAACACTTCCTCATGTTCCAGTGCCTCAGAGTTTAATTCTCCCAGAGCAAAGCAGAAGTTTTTGACAAGTATCAGGGATTGCTCGGTCCCCCAGAAGAGTGGAAGACAGTACAAATTCCACCCTCCTAACTCTGTATTTGTATTTGTGATGGGTTGGCCCCAGCTTTCAGACCAATTCCCACCCAGCTGCTTGGTCATTCCTGCCTTCAGCAAAACAGGGGCAGAAAATACAAAGAATGAGAACAAGAAAGCTCATGGGTTGAGATAAAGGCAGAGTGATCACTTACCAATTACTGTCACAGGCAAAAGAGAGTCAACCTGGGGAACATTAACTTTTGACAAGTAATTTATATACATTTAATTTATAACTTGGTTATTGAGAAGTAAAAAGACAGTGATTAAAACACACAGAGAAAACACCTTACCCCCTTCCCAGTCCCAGCTTGACCTTCACTGTCGACTCCTCTCCTGCCCTGCTATCACTGCAGGTTACACCCAGGCCCTTCAGCAAGGCACCAGGCAGCACATGGGTGGGCTGCAGGGGTAGCTGTCAGTCTGTGGCAGTCTGTGCATGCTGATCCTTCCTCCACACACTTTTCCCCTGCTCCAGGGGGTGCTCCATGAGCTGCAGTGTGGACATCTGCTCCACCACGGAGCAGCTACTCCTCATCCTCCTTATTCTCTGACCTTGGTGTTCCTTCTGCAGCTTCTCACCCTGCTGTTCCCTCTTTCTCTCTACATCCTGCACTTTTTGTGCTTTCTTAAATGTGTTTTCTTACAGGTGCCACTAGCAGCCGTGCCTCAGAAGGGGTGGTTGGCAATGGCTGGAACTGGATGGAACCAGCAGTGTCTGGCATGGGGCCACCCTTCCTTACAGAGGCCTCCCCTTACAGGGACTTCTCTTCACAGGAGCCACCCTTCAGCTGCCAGTGCCAACGCTGGGACACCGACACCCAGTACATTGTCACATATTCTACCTGTAAAAGGGATATTGCAGCCCATCTGTGCTGACATACATGACAAAATCCTCATGAAACTCCCCAAAAGCATGACTGGGCACTACCTGAGCTCCCAATAAAATCCTGAGAAAGTAAACCCCAAAGTAAGGTGGGGAAAAAACTGTTATAGTAGCAAAATGACTGTGTGCAGTTTGATGTGATCAATTTCATTGGCTTGGAACTTGTTGTCTTCAATTTCTCTGTTTCATGAAATAGTAGGTGTGTGGTCCCATATTTTTGAGTGCTGTGTGACCCAGGGGATACTCAGGAGGGTGCTTTGCTTGACGTGTCCAGAGTCAATAGCTACTGTAGGACAGATCTTTCTCTGCTGTGCACAAAACAGCTGAGTTCTACCTCGGTCTGACTTACTATTCCTTTAATTCTCCCAAGTTTCTGGGAGGAAATGATTATAATCCTCCATCTTTAGGCCAACCAGCAAATACGTTGTATGCCCAACTTTTTGTTTAAGGATTTTCAATTAAAAATGAGGGATGAGCTGTGAAATCTCCTGACACTAGGCCAATATGCCTTAGCCTTGTCTCCCTCAAATAGTCAAAAAGTACGCATGAAAGCATATTGTGCTTCTTCATGATATTTGGGATTTTCTGTATTGTTTCCCACTCTTCACCCTCCACCTTTAAGGAGGCTTCCCTGTGCTGGGCGCTTTTGGCACCAGAATGGTCATTCTTCATTCCTTTCAGAATTCCCTCCAGGAAAAGAGGGCCTTTATGAAGAACAACAATATCTAGAACTT